GACACCACCCAGTACTCGTCTAGCGTCTGCCCTATGACTCTGGAGTTTAATCTCAATGCGGATATATCAAGACTCAAGGAATGGTTCACTTATAACTTCCTAGGAATCAATAGCACCAAAACGCAGGCAATGGTACTTGGGAACAGTTCCTACAATTTTGAATTCTTTGTGGACCCGCAGCAGGTTATTGACATAAAGCCGATTCTAAAGATCCTGGGCGTTACGCTGGACAATAACCTCTCCTTCAAAGATCACGTAACAATTACGCTGAAAAAGGCATATGCAAAAATCGCTGCTCTCCGCAGAATAAAGCGTCTTATACCTTCCTTTATTATGATCTCTTTGTACAAAACGTATGTGTTACCTCATTTAGAATATTGTTCCCCTCTATTGTTGGGAACCTCTACTCCTCTGAAAAATAAGCTGGAAAAATGTAACTTTTACGCGTTAAGCACTGTGCTTAATCTAGGTAGATCTACTGAGTACAAAGACTGTCTCAGGCTTGCTAGTATGGACACCTTAATCCAAAGACGTCTTACTGCGTCTTTAATCATGTTTTCAAGGCATACAGGCTACAGGGAGCTTCGTATATCTCTAATTTTTTTACACCTAGGGTCTGTCACTACAATTTGCGCTCCTCTGCTCTTAATGTTTCCCAGCCTGTAAATACCTCTAGCCATATTCACAGCTCTTTTTCATATATTATCTATCATTCCTGGAACTAGCTACCATCTTCAGTTAAATCGGCAACTACTCTGGCAGAATTTAAGACTGGCCTATCTCGCATAACTACACTTGGCTATAAGTGTAATAAGTGTATTAGTATATAATTGTAGGAATAGGGTTATGAATTGGTAATTAGGCTTCAGGGTTAGGGCTACAAGTTAGGTGATTAGGGCTGGTAGGGTTTCAGGGGAGGTTCAGGATTAGGATTAGGGGTAGGGGGCTAGGTGATATTTTTGCGTTTTTTTTTCTCGTCATATATACATATATTTAACTTGTACATATATTTATATACACATCTGTAT